CGCCGGGGGGGAAGAGCGGGCGAGCTGCGCGGGGAAGGGTTGGGGAGCGGGGCAAAGCGAACCGGGCAGGAAAGCGGGGCAGAGCGCGCACAGGCGGAGTGGGGGGGAAGGAAGGAGTGGAGCGGGCGGGCTTGGAATGGGAAGTGGGCAAAGCCGGGATCGGGGTCAGCAAAGGGGAATGGGGTGTGCCGGGAGAAGTTGGGTTGGGATCGGGAGGGGAGTGGGGCGAAATCGGGATGGTGGAGCAGCGGTGGAAAGTCGGAGTCGCAATTTGGAGTGGGATCGGAAGTAGGGGAAAGGTCGGGATCGGAGGATTGGGATCGGGCGATAGGGCGGAGGGGCGCGGAGCGGGGCGGGTAAGTGCGTCGGAAGGGGGCGACTGATGGGAAAGAGGGTATGGAAGGGGGAGGGGGTGTGCGCACGGGGATGTGCAATCGGGGTTGAGCAAGGGGAAGAGGGGGGGGGAGGAGATTGTAGGCACACGGGGCCAAGTGGACACGTGCGCATGAGGGGAGGTGGGGATCGACTGTCCACGTGGCAATGATCCTTCCGCAGGTCCACCTACCGAAACCTTGTTACGACTTCTCCTTCCTCCGACTGATAAGGTTCGATGAACCTCTCACCGCCGGCTGCGACCCGCTGAAGTGCAATGTCAACAATTCACCAGCCATTCAATCTGTAGGAGCGGCGGGGGAAGGACGAGCCAGGGTACACGTGGCAGCAGGTCGGCGTCGGCGGCCCGTGGGATGACGACAACATCTTGAGTAACGTCGTCGTGGAGGTTGCCGAGGAGAAAGGCGCCAGCTTGGATGGAGAACGTACCTAGTCGAATTGACGGACCAGGTGCATCTCCAAAAACGAGCTTGGAGATAGCTATCCGTGATAGCGGGATAGCCAGAGAGGGAGGCAACAGAAAAATTGTGGCAAATTTTCTGACAGGATGATCACATGTGGGCACCATATTTCAACCGTTGGAAGTGTGTTTATAAACTGTTTGGTGGGGGGGGGGGTCATGTGTTCCACCAGAAGTGAAGGAAACCAACGCTGACCAAACATTGGGAAAACTAAAACTGGTGTGTCCATTTATTGGTCCATTTGTTGAAAGGATGTTGGTCCATCTGTTGACCATTTATTGACAACTTGTTGAAAACGTGTTGAAGACTTGTGAAGAACTTGTTGAAACGTGTTGAGAACGTGTTAAACGTGTTGAAACGTGTTGAAAACTAGTTGAAACATGTTGAAAACTTTTGAAACGTGTTGAAAACTTGTTCACCTTTCGTAGAACGTTACGTTCTGTGTTGGGGGAAAAAATTGAAATTTTTGGCTCATGTCGTCGATTTTCGCGTTTTTTTCCCGTCCTTTTCTCCTGGTGCACGATACGCTATGCTCTTTCACAAATGTCAATCGTTGAGTCTTCCAGTACTCCTGACATGCAATGACCACAATGACTGAAGATAACGAGAGAGTGTTAGAGATAGATAGATAGATAGATAGATAGATAGATAGATAGATAGAGAGAGAGAGAGTTGCAAGCAGGGTTCAGTACTGCGTGACACAAATTCACCGTTATGGCAGTGCGAGAGAGAGAGTGGCACGCAGTAGCCAACCTTTATTTTTTATTAGTGCTGGATTGCGGTATTTCCATTTTGCTGATGGACGGGTGAGGGAGCGTCGATTAAATATCGAGCTGCCCTGCTACAAGCACGGTTCACTACTGCGTGACAGAAAGTCACCAACATGGCAGTCCGCGAGAGAGAGTGACACGCAGTAGCCAACCTTCCTTTTCGAGCCTGTAGGATTACTATAGTTCATTCTATGGATGGACGCGTGTGGGAGCGTCAATTAAATGCTGAGATGCCCTGCTACAAGCTCGGTTCACTACTGCGGGCCACAAATTTACCAACATGGCCGTCCGCGATAGAGAGTGGCACGCAGTAGCCAACCTTCCTTTTCGAGTCCGTAGGATTGTTGTGCTTCATTCTATGGATGGATGCATGAGGGAGCCTCAGTTAAATGATGAGCTGCCCTGCTACAAGCACGGCTCAATGCTGCGTGACACAAATTTAGCAACATGGTGGCATGAGAGAGAGAGTGGCACGCACTAGCCAACCTTGCATTGACGACAACCACGGATGGTGTTTTTTCATAACATAGTCGCTCTATGACCAATCACACAAAGATGAGCATTACATGGGATTGTACAATTGTGTATCATAAATAACAGACCATATGTTATAAAGTGACTGTTCAAGTGCCATGGTTCAGAGTCTTCATCTCCCCGCCTCTCTCTCTCTCTCTCTCTCTCGCATGCAATGACCGTGACCTTGTGTAATGAACCTTTTGATTCACTGATGCCGTAATGAACCTTCTGATTCACACTATTGTGTTCACCACCTCTCCCCCCCCCGCACCCCCCCGGTTCAAGGTCTGGCGCATAGACTTTCTGTATCCCACTCCCCGTCTCTGCTTCTCTCATGCAGCGGTGCAATGAATTCCAGGTCGAAATCGTCATTCGTTATTGTTGTGTTATGTGGCCGAGTCCTGTGGACAGAGGGCACGCCAGCTCGAAATAGCGCAGCAGCCTTCTCAGCAACAGATACGGCATGGTCCAGCTTGAAGATTGAAAAACTCATGACTGTATCGCGGCTGTGGACAGATGATGCGATGTCCTGCTTTATAGAGACCAATTTTCCTATCTGCTCCGCCGCTCTGCTGGTCTTTGTTGTCTGCTCAATTTCACATTGCAGAACCATTTCTGCAAAAGCCAGTTGCTGCAGGGTGACGCCAAGGTTTACGCCGTCCCTCCTCATCTGGAAAACCTTAGTGAGTGTCGTCTTGAAGGTTGGGGTGCCCCAAGGATCATCGCCGCTCCGTCTCCACGTTTTGTTCTCCTTCATATCTGCTCGCATCTTGTTGCGAGTAGGGACCTGGTGATCTGTTTGCTGCGATCGTACAAGCGGGATTCCTTTTTCATCCCAGAACCAATGTTTCAGTTGCCATGTCATCTCTCCACGCACGGTTGTCATCATTTTGTTGCACTCCCTAATGACTGCTTGAATCCCGCACTCCGCTACGTGTGATCGCAGTTCTTCCTCCGCGTTCTCCCCTATCAGTTTCGCCATTGTTTGCAGCGCCATGAAAAATTCATCCTCTATTGGATACAGAGTTGCGTCCTTTGCTGCTGAGAACGCAAAGGCTTTCGCGACCGACCGAAACAGTCTGTCCTTCATTTTCTTTGAGAATACGCCGCTTTCTTGCTTTGCTTGTTGCTGTCCTCCCCTGGTCCCGCACACTTTTCTTTGCGAGTTCGTGCCATCTGCTGAAAGACACACATTACAATGCACATAATAATATTAAGAACTCGACATTTCGCACCCATTTTCGCACCTGCGAAATTCAACAGCCCGTTTCAACTGTTCGTTCATCACAGCGACATTCTCGCATTAAGGAAATGCCATCACTTTGCGCCGTTACCTCGTAATCGTTGTGCAAAAGGAACAACTGCAACACATTTTGTTTACCTTTTTGAACTGCGTTGTCGTGCCTCACTATTTGTCTGTCAATCGAGGGCGAGTCGGCTGCGTCTCCCTCGCCACCACTTTCGGGTTCCCTCGTGCGTCGCGTTCTTCTAGGAGACGGGGAACTCTCTCTTCCGTCCACAGTTCTGTCGTCTTCGCCTGCCCCGTCACCGCCCTTGTCCTGCGCTATGCCGTCGCTGCTCCTGCCGTCCTCGTCATCAGCGTCGTGAGTGTCGCGAGAATGTTCGTCGGAAGTTTCACTGTCACCTCCCTCGTCACTTGTTGCCTCGTTCTTCTCCCCGTCAGACTTTTCTGATATGGATTGGTCGTGTTCCTCTTCTGCTTCCTCTCGGGACGCGCTCTGCATATTGTCTGAGATTCTCAGATCGATCATCTCCACCATTCTGTCCTTTTTGTACGTGATTCTCTTCTTTGTCCTGCGGTGCACCTTTGACATTCCGTCTTCCCGCGACCTCTTCTCGGGGGCCTTGGGTGGACGGTTCTCGACACCGCTCACACGGTTCCGCGGGGCAGGAGTCGCAAGGGGTGACTCATTGCGTTCTTTCAGCCTTGAAATCTCCCTCTCACTTGACGGGAGAGAAACTTTTGATCCGTTTCTACAACTGCTGGTCCGCTCCGTTTTTGCATTGTGGGATCCGCTTCTGCGATGCTCTCTCGTTTCTTTTTTCTTATCAGCCTTGCATTTTTTCCTCCCCTTGTCTTTTTTTTCCACGGCCTTCAAAGACCTGCACACATCCTCGTATTTTGGCCTTGGAGCCATGACCCTTTTTTCCCCCACATACATCAAACTGGAATACGAACAACAACTAGTCAGCAATAGCGTGCGTCGATCCATACACCCCTGAAGTATAATGACCGCATTGAGAGAGAGAGAGAGAGAGAGAGAGAGAGAGAGAGAGAGAGAGAGAGAGAGAGAGAGAGAGAGAGAGAGAGAAAGAAAGGTACAACCAAATCTTCAAAGACCTGCATAGATCCTCGTATTTTGGCCTTAAAGCCATGACCCATTTTCCCCCCACATACATCAAAGTAGAATACGAACAACAACTAGTCAGCAATGGCCTGCGTCGATCCATACACCCCTGAAGTGTAATGACCGCATTGAGAGAGAGAGAGAGAGAGAGAGAGAGAGAGAGAGAGAGAGAGAAAGGTACAACCAAAATCTTGTTGTTGATACTACGACATCATTTAAGTTACCAACCTCTTGTGCGTCAGAATGACTGTATCTGTATTGTCAGGCGGCACAGGTTCGCATAGTCACAATAACAAAAACAAAAAACAAGCAAAGAAAAACTTGGAAGATGTCCCCGGCCATCACCGTGAGAAGGTTGGCTACTGCGGGCCAATCAACTGGTCAAGCCACCGGTCTTTACATAACAAATGCCCGCAGTAGTGAACTTTCCTCGCATCGTCCTTTGACGAACTCAACGGCAGTTCGAGGCTTACAAAGTGCTGCTCTGTCTTCTGTTTACGACGCATCTCAACGCAGTCGCTATGTGTGAGGCCGCGACCGTGCCGTTACCTTTTGTAACTGCAGCGCAGCGAGCGAGCCGGTCCACCATAGACTGACGAAATTGGTGATCAGTTTTTCGTTCACCGTTGTTCTTTTAACAACTTCCAGTACGTCCTTTGCTCTCACATCCTTCGGTGCAGTTCTTGCAAGAAATTCTATTACAGTGCCAGCGATGCAACACACATAGACACCACAGTCCGTGTAATTGTTCTGTTGCGGGCCTTCTGCATGCAAAAGTTTACTTCCTAGTAGATTTCTACATGTCACCCATGACGTATGAACCTTTTCCGGTGTCAACACCCCCGAGTTGGATGCCTCGTGGAGGTACTCGTGCCACAGAAATGTTCGCAAGGCCTTCCATTCCTCTCGCTTCTTCCATTTCAAGGAGTCAACAACGATGGCGATAAGAGGTTCGTAGACATGGTTGTCGTGAGTGATTGCCAAGAAGGATCTGACATTGAGCAACAGAAGAAGAATTCAATGTTTGTTATGGATCACAGATATTACAGTGGTTGTCGCGCGTCGCAGTTCATTGCTCAGTCGATGCAACTTCCGTGGTCTATTCTTGATTGCGTCCTTCCATCCGCTTTTCGTCAAATGCACTTTCTGATTGCCAATGACCTCGGGGTGCCAGAAAGTTGTGCAGACATGGACTGTTGCACTGTCCCGTGGCGGCGACTGTTCTTCATATAGAGACTGCAAACAAATGTCGATAATGTTGTGGTTCAGCTATTCGTTGTCGGTCAATCGTAGAATGTCGGATTTTGTTACTGATACAGCGTGTCTCTTTGATTTTCACGTGAAGGGGAACAATTTGTCCTCATCATTAATGTAGTCTGCTCTTCTCTCGTTCTTGTCATGTCCCCGACTTTCGTTTTTCCCTTAATGTCGGATGACTCTTCGATTATCAACTGGGGAGACTTTGCTTCACCCTCTGTCATTATATCGTACATTTCCGCATATCAAGGGTCTGTCAACATTTTCTGCCACCTCTTTGCTAACCGCTCAATGGTCAATGGCAACAACGGTTCGCTTGCCACCTCTCTGCGGTGCTCTTCATCTTTATTTTCCATCCTTGGACCGGTGACCGGTTCTGTACCCACATATGACCACTTCACGCCGCCACCACACATGTTACTTTTCTGTGACTCTGTCATCCTCGCTCGGCTTCTCTTACCTGCACCCTGTAATTTAGTGTTCTGTGTCGCTCCTTCCCGAACGATGCGCGACATCGTAAGTTCCTGTTCCTGTTCACACGTGTCGGTCAAAATGGAATGACACAGACGATTTGTTACCTTTTTTAACAACTTGAAATCGTTTTTAAAGGATACTTGAGATAGATAGATAGAACTGCAGGCCAAAACAACGATAAACAGAACCGGTGGACACGGAAGAGAGAGAGAGAGAGAGAGAGAGAGAGAGAGAGAGAGAGAGAGAGAGAGAAAGAGAGAGAGGTTCACTAGTGCGGGCCAGAACGACAACAAACAGCACCGGTGCACACTGATATGGCACGCAATAGTGAACCTGACCGTCGGGGCGGGAGGGGGATAGGCAGAGAGGGGAGGGGGGGAGGGAGCAAAGGTTCGAAACCCGCTCCGATACCAATGCGACGCACGTGCTGGCAGCACGTGCGGAGAGAGAGAGAGAGAGAGAGAGAGAGAGAGAGAGAGAGAGAGAGAGAGAGAGATGGACACACACAAGAAGCAGCAGCTGAGTGAAGGTCCAGTCCGGCTCAACGAAAGAACGAACAACTGAATGAACCAACCTCCCGCCCTGGGCCTAGGCCGAAGTGATATACCGGCCTAGGTCCAGGTACGGAGCAACCTGGTACCGGACCAGGGTTAGGCCGACGGCCTGAAACTGGTCCGGCCTCACTGCCGGGCCGTAGGGGTACCGCTACATTCAAGGCTCAGGGAAACCCTTGAGGGAGGCGGTAGGCGACTGCGTGGACTACTTCGTCGCCATCGCCAACGAAGACGCAGGAGCTGAACCGCCTTCGATGCTCATAATGTTGCTGAATAATGTGCCGCGCTTCAAGATTGAGGACCCTGCGCAGCATGAAGCAGCTCTGCGCAGAGTGCGCAGAGTGGAGAAACTGGTGCGTAGCACCATTTACGGCTGAATCTTCAAATCGTCGTCTAGGTCGACTGGCTTCGCTCGCGTAGAGTCGTATATCACCGCCGACTTCGCTACATACGTCGCACGAGCAGTTTGGCAGGGATGGTCCAAAGTGGCTTCCCCTGCCCTCGTCTACTACACGTTGGCGATGAAGATGGACGTGCCTCTGTGGTTCACGGGGGTGAAGATTGTGGACCGGTCAGAAGACGGCGACATGGTGGCGCAGCAGGAGGCGACACTTCGCCTGGCGGACTGCTGGACAGATGCAGTATGGTGAAGACAATGGGCGGATGGCGGACGCGTGAAACATGAGAGGTTGTCGCGACTTGCGGATTGTCTTTGAGCGTTGTTGAACGAGTGCATGTGGATCATGCGCATGCGTGGTGACGATGACCGTTCGCACTACGAGGTGTGGTTCTACGCGTCCATGGTCGCCAAACCCACAATGATAGCGGCGGGGTCCTACATCTTCAGCTGGTGGCAACACATCGTGGACACCGCCAACCTCGTCTTGGATCATCTAGGGAAGGCCCACCTGACGCTGGGAGATTAACCGCATTGCATTCTGGAATGGTCTGATTGCGGGTTGGTGTTCGGGCACAACGTGGCCCTGAAGAATGCAGCGGAAGCCGCAAAACACGGCTGGATCGGCAGCGGGCCCGCGATGGACGATGATGGAGATGAGGGCAATTGACACATGGGTTCGTCCGTAAGGCAGCGGTGGGGTGTGGATCGTCGACGGATTGGCGCGTGGGATCAGAAAATGATGAACTGTGCGCATTCAACTGCAGACGTTAGTGCACGGGCGGGATGGGTGTTGGTGGTTGAGCGGGGGGAAGGTGCGCGGTCCAACGGCGTGGCGACGTCAGCAGATGGCGTCGAAGTAGATGTGTAGTGAACGTTTTTTTTTTTTTTTTTTTTTTTTTTTTTTTTTTTTTTTTTTTTTTTTTGGAGTACACTTTACAGTTGTGCTCCACAAAAGGGTATCTTAGGAGAGTGGACGACACCTCCATCTTTTGTGTGGGTCGTTTGGAGGGTGGATAGTTAGGAAAAAAGTGGATCGCCGCCTGAACATTGTTGTGTTATTGAATGGATTTCCTCATATTTATGTTTATGTGTCGACGACGTGTGTTTGAATGCTTACGATTGCTCACTCAATACTATTTTTTTCTCCCTCTATGTGGGTTTATCATATGACGCATGCGTTAATGACCATCGTATTCTCGTCCACGTCTTCTTGTGTATGCGGCCCTTCATTCGATCTTAGGAATCGCGCCATCGTTATCATCGCCAGCACCTGAGAAAATAAAAGAAAACAATGAAAACAGGAAGGAACCTATCCACGCACTTTCATTGTCATTTTTTTTATGTTTGCTGGCCATCTTTCCATTCATAATGACATCGCTAAATCGTGATGATCGTCGGCACCGGACGGAAGCCAAAAAAAAAAATAAAAAAAAATCAAAGGAAGGTCACCGTGCAGTTGCCGAAATAACCAATCTGTCGTGAGTTTCTCTTTCATTTTTTTTTTTACTGTATGTAAGTCGTTAGTGGACAACGAAGCTTCACCGACTGACTTTAGCAAACGCAGAGAAGTGCAGATGACATGCATGACAGACGTTTCATGTACTCGATAGAAACAGCGCTGTAAAGCGCATGCGAAACAGTGGGCTGACGATGTGCTTCATGCCGCCCCTCACCTCCCGCCTTCTCCCCCCCCCCACTACAGCAACAAGGAAGACCGAAACAACAACCACACTACTGTTGCGGCGACTACGACAACAATGAAGCCACATCACTGCCAATGATCGACGAACTGGACAAGCAGTCTACTGTCGACTACAACAACAAACACCTAAAAACAACCCGTCCGCGACCGCAAACCGTCCGAAGCAATTGCGCTCGTAAGCGAAAGATGCAAGCGTTGTGAATCGACCACGGCGGAACACGGCCTCAACGAAGAAGTCTTCTACGAGAGAAATAGGCAGGCGGTAGGCAGGATCACATGTGTTTCATTCGCTCCGCCAACGCATTGCGGAGCGCGTGTGCCGCGTGCGTCAAAGTCAACATCGTCACTGGCTGCGGGGGACTGTGTATCTTTTTAACGCAGAACGGGGGAATAAAATTCCCGTTGAATCCCGTTAAACTCCAAAAAATCCCGTTGAATTCACGGTAAACGCGAAATTGGGCCGCTCCCGCGGAAAAACGGAATTGATGCGAGGGGTCCGGAACAAGTGGCCCTAGGCAAAAAAAAAAAAATAAAAAAAAATCCCCCTAACCCTTGAAGCACCTCCCATCCGGCCCCACATCCCCCAACCCCCAACGCCCCAGTTATGTGTGTGTAGGTGTGCTTTGTGTGCGCGTATCTGTATATGTGTGTGTCTGCCGTGAGAGTGTGTCTGTGCATGAATATGAATGTATGCGCGTGTGTTTGTGTATGTGTGTGTTTGTAAGTGTGTGTGTGTGTGTGTCTGTGCTTGTAAGTGTATGTGTGTGTTTGTAAGTGTGTGTGTGTATGTATATGTGTGTGTTTGTGTGTGTGTGTGTTTGTAAGTGTGTGTTTGTAAGTGTATGTTTGTAAGTGTGTGTATGTATGTGTGGGTTTGTAAGTGTGTGTGTGTGTATGTGTGTGTTTGTAAGTGTGTGTGTGTGTGTAAGTGTAAGTGTGTCTGTGCCTGCGCGTGAGAGGGTGTCTCGCCTTACTCGCAACCTCGTACCCCAACACATAGATTCCACTTGCACCCAAGGACCACCCTGCGCCACTCCCAGCTTACAGCAGCGCAACTCGGCTATGGCTGCCTGCTCCTTCCTGCTCGCCCGTGAGTGAGTGAGTGGCCCGAGCTACAGCATGGCAGCGCTTACGCAGCATGCAGCTAGCACCCGAATGCCCAATGTGGAGGCAGGCCCTTTGCTATATCGAAGTGGCCTGCCTGTGTTCAGTCCCAGGAAGCTTCCAGTAGGCCCCGGTAGCCTGAGGCACAGCACGAACGAGAACAAGCCTTGGGCCTGAGGTGGTTGCATGCCCCCAACTGCCTTTGGCCTGTGTTTGGCCCACTACCCGTATCCAGCCCAGGGCCTGCTTTCCGTACATTCACACAGGCGGCCCAAGACCTGGGTTCCCTCAACCAACTGACGCCAGACTCATGCAACCTGCTACAGGCCCAATTTTGTGTGTGTGTGTGTCTTTTTTTCCTCTTTTTAATTTGCTTTTTATGGTTTTGATTTTTTTTTTAAATACACAAAATTCCAAACAAATAAAATAAAAATTAAATGGTTGTACATCTTTGAAAGATCTACAACCCTATATATATATATATATATATTTTTTTTTTTTCCGTTTTAGCCCTTAAAAAATCTGTGTGAAACCCAAAACAAAAACACTCATTTCATTTTAGTTTTTGTTTTTCATTGTGTGTTTATGTTTTTGATTTTTTAAAAACAGATTTAAGCATAAAAAAATAAAAATAAAAATACAAGGTTGTAGTTCTCAACAAAACCTACAACCCCATTGTTTTTTTTTTTTTTTTTGGGTAATTTTTCGCCCCGGAAACAAATCATCTCGGACACCGTTAATTCCCGTCCAACTCGCGTTTGAACGGGAGTTTAACGTGAATTCAACGCACGTTGAATTTTTCAACGCGAAACCCGCGTTAAATCCAATTTCGGACACACAGGCGGGGGATGATGAATCCCCAGGTCCAGTCGGCGCCTCACCCCGTTCTCTTCGACCTCCCACAACAGATTCTCGTCGAACTCGATACCAGTGTCGAGCAGGATGTTGTGGAGAATGCAGACGACCGTGAACTGTTGCGGTAGAGTGTCGAGGATCATCTTGTGCGTCCGCAGGAAGAGCCTCCACATCCCCTTCAACCTCCTGAACGCCCTCTCCACAGCCCCTCTTGCGACCTTCTGCTTCCTGTCAAAGCTTTCCTCGTCTATGTGCTTATTGATTCCTCCATATGGAACCACCACCCATTCAGAAGGAGGATACCCGTTGTCGCCCAAGAAGTATCCGTTCGTCCTCACCCCTCCCGGCAGCGTGACAGGCGGCCCATGAAACAACATTCCCTCTTCCGCACGCCTGGACAGACGTGACAGTTGGATCACCCTAATGTCGTGGCAGTTCTCCGGATATCCAACGAACACGTTAAGCACGCTTAGATCCAGGTCCACCACCTCCTGCGCAATGGTGGAGAAACGATGCTTGCGGTCGAAGAAGTTCTCGCTTCGCTCGTTCGCCGGTTTGTCCACGTAGATGTGTGTGCAGTCAACTGTGCCATGGCAGTTGGGAAAACCCTTGTCCAGAAACACCCGTAGCACGACGTGTTTCCACACCCGTGTCGGCCACAATCTCTTGTCCCCGTACACCCTCAGCATAGCGGTTGTCACATTGCGCACCATCTGCCCTTTTCTTATTCCCTTGAATATGCTCCAACTGAAAATCGAACATCCAGATGTAGGTGAGCCATCTGGCAACGGTAGGATCAGCTGGAGAGAAGTTCCTAAGGGAATACATGAGGGCGGTCGGATCTATCCTTACAATGAATCTCCTCCCAAAGAGATAATGCCTAAAGATCCGTAGGCAGTGTAATACTGCCAAGGCCTCCTTCTTGAACTGAGAGTAATTTCTTTCCGTTGAATTGAGGGTCTGACTCTCAAAGCCTAACGATATTTCCTTCCCTTCATGATCAGCCGGTATCAATACTCCTCCCAAGGCAGTGAGTCCGACATCAGTTTTTATTATGAGGGACGCTCTATGATCGCTTCGTAGTCTGTAACTCCCAGTACCAGACCTCCTTCCTCAAATTCCTTCTTCAAGTCTCTTACCACCTGTTTCTGCTTCTCTCCCCATTCTCACTCCTGATTCATCCTTACCAATTTCCTCACGTGCTCAGTTTTCGCAGCAAACCTTTTGATGAATATCCTCCACAATCCGCATGTCCCAAGAAAACACCTCACCTCACCTATATTCTTGAATGGTGTCGGCCACTCAAAACTTTTATTCGTTTTCTTGGTGTCTGGACGACGACCCTGCTCATTATATGCAAACCCTAGAATGGTTGTCTCTCTCATGCAATGCTTGGATTTCGCGCTACTTGCCGTGAGGTTATGTTCGTGTACGAGATCAAGCACCTTCCTGAAATCATTAACATGATCCCAGACGAACTTTCTAATGTCGGGTGCAACTTCTTGTTCATGTTTCATCATCGGTCCTTTCACTGCAAGATCGTCGATATAGGGTTCGGTGATCGGTTGACTAATCGGTTGCATTCCTCTGACCATACTCCTTTGAACCATGGCCACCGCATTTGTCCACCCTTGAGGTGCCACGTTCATGTGGATCAGTCCCCTAGGAGTATGCATTGCAGTTATCGGTCTATCGGTCGGATAAGCTGGAAACTGATCATAGCCGGAGTAGAGATCTATGAGTGAGATGATAGACCTCCCTGCACATGCCTCAAAAAGCTGATCAGCGTTAGGGAGTCCTCTCGCGTCCCTAACTGTCACAACATTCAATCTCTGCAAATCTTGCACCCATCTGAGCACCCCATTTAGTTTGATGAAGCAAAACCACGGCGAAGCATATGGTCCACTAGAGAAACATGCCACATGTGAGACAATCTTTCCATCGAGGTATTCTACCACCCTTCTCTGATCATCAGGATTTGGGTATCTGGCCCCCTTGATATTCCAAGGCTGGTGCGGGACTGTATGGATCCGGATCATTCCTACCTTGTCCACATCTAGCCTCTCTCTCTGATCATCATTAAAAGCATAGGCGCAATGTTTCTGTTTCATTAAACTTATCACTAACGCTCTTTCCTGCTTAGTTAGAAACCCGAGCTCCCCAATGATCAAGTCCTTTTCCGTCCCTTCGTTGATACGGCAGACTTCTTCCTCCCACTTCTCTATCATTTATCTTATAAGTTCTCTCTCTTGCTCATAGTACACACTCTCTTCGTATGTTACTAGCACCGGGACTGGGCGACTCTTTTTGTCTACTGTCTTGTACCTCTTTTTTCGTCCTTGCTTGAACCCACCTCTAAAAAAATGTTGGCCGCTTGATTGAGCATACGACCCCTGCATTCTTATATTTCGAGGGGGCAGTCTATATACTAAGTTCATCATTCCACTCTCGGGATAATCGTTTAATCTGTCAGCCAAGGCCAGGATGGCTTTTTGGTCTCCCATCTCATAGGCAGAGACCATACATATTGCTTGGTCTATGTTAGCCAAGCTCAGAACCAGTCCTTCATCCTCTTCACCCTCTTCATCCTCACCTGATCCCCATTCTAACTCTCTTCTCTTGTCCTCTGACTCTTCAAACGTGTATGACCCCGCATTGAGACGATTCTTTGAACAGTGGGGACCCATATTTTTACACGTGAGCACTTCAAAATTCCCACATGCCGGATCGCACAATATTACGAACATAGTCCCATCATGCTTATTCATGATGAGGACTTCTGATCGCGACAAAAAGGACCTCCCCAACAATATGTGAAGACCCAAACTTGGCATGATGTAGAAACAGAAACAGACCTTAACCCGCCCCACTTCTACGATAACATTTGACGCAACGCCTGTATAACCTGACTTCCCACTGGCTCCATTGAGGTATCCAAAATCGCTCTTATCACTCTTTAGTCCCAGCCTCTCAGCTGTCTCTGAATTCATAATATTCATTTCTGCCCCGGTATCTACCATTCCAGGGCATCCTCTTCCCCTAATATTAACCTCGATGGAACCAGTCCCTACGGATTTCCAATTCATCTTGCTTCCCGCGATAGTCCAGTTTGCCATTTTGGGAATCAAATCCCCCATCCTTACTGTCGCCACTCTCTTTTGAGCCGGTTTCGCTTTAACTAACTCTCTGAGCTTCGGGGCCGTTGCCAAAATTTCTTTAAGATTTAACAACTCATTATGTCCGTCGAAAAACTTGTTCACCAAATTCTCTAGGTCTACCCCCTCTTCAATAGATATTTGATATTGCCACTTCATTTTTGACTTTTCCCCGACCGTCTTTTTTCCTTCCTTAACCCCCTGCTTCCGTTTCCTGGCCCTCTGCTCAACGCGCTTATCTTCCTCTTCTCTCGGTTGTTCATCCTGATCCTCCTCTTCTTCGTTTATGTCAATAGAGGGTTCACCAGGAGGCGGCGGTGGAGTCTGCTCCTGTTCCTTAGGTGCATTGCTTCCTTTAGTTCGGCGAGCAGTGTACGACACAAAATTCCTAAGGGCTTGGTAGGCCGCCTCAAGTCCTGCAGCCAAGCTTGCCCTTAGCGTCCTCGGATTAGGTTATCGGGGTTTTTCTTCCCCACTTCCCTGACTCATGATAAATACGTGCGGGACTCTCAATCCCATAATCTTGACTTCTTCGCATATACCCATCATCCTGGTGTCCAACCTTCCTATCTTATCTATTAGGTTTTTCATTTTCTCGATGGTGTCCTTTGCCGACTCTCTACCTGCTTCTTCTTCTCCTGGTTCAAGCTCGATCAACGGAGCATTCTGTTCCTCTAGGCCTATCCTTAGTCATTTTCTCAGTTGCTCCCCCAACTCGGTCACATCTTCTATTTTGACCACTAGGTCTTCCTTTTCTTGCCATATCCGGAACATGGCGGGGGCGCTGGCACCTAGCCCTGCAATCCTGAGCGCCTCCTTCTTTGTGCCTCTGGGGATGTTAGGGTCTATAAGGGTTCCCCGCTTATCGAATACATCCCCATCTATGCTCGACGTAATTAACCCATCCTGCTCATTCATTTTTCTAACATGGCATCTCTTCACGTTATGCCCCTTGATTTGACAGTGGGTACATGTGCATTCACTACAATCTATCCAACCTCGTCCGTATCCCTGACCATTCCATTGCCCATCACTCCTACCAAACCGTCGGCCATAGCTCTGGTTATAGTCTTAATCATAGTCCTGGTTGTACCCTTGGTTATACCCTCGGCCGACTTGGTTAAAGCTCACCTGATTATAGTTCCCTGACTGAGGGTCTTCTTGACTGCCTCAGTTCCCTCCTTGTCCGCCGTGTCCTCTTCCTCCGAACCCTCTTCCTCCTTGACTATTTCCTCTTCCTCCGCTTCTACCTTTACCTTATCCTTGTTCGTGTCCTTGTCCCTGGAACTGATTCTGGTTTTGATTACCGTGCGTTTGCTGAGCGTGCTGTGGTAGTACTCCGCCCGTTCCTCGTCCTTGTGTTTGACCTGAGCCTCCTCCTGCTCCTTGCACTTGGGGCATATTTAGATACAGGCCCATTTGACCAAACCCCGGCCACTGATTTTCTAGGGAAAATCTGGGTCATGCCCCCATAGGAGCCACAACCGGCCACGGGGCGAGTTGGGTCGTGAGAGTTTATGTTTTCGAAACGTAGGGTACCACAACTTGCTGAGAGCCCTGTCCTTTTCCAGCACCTTGTTTCCCCGTTGTTTGATTCTTGGTTTTCTTCTGGGTAACTTTTGTCTTGACTACCTGCTTAGGCTCCTCCCCTTCTTCTTCCTTGTCCTCTTCATTTTCTTCCCCATACCTTCTTTTGTTTGTTACTTGACCAACTGCCATCACTTTCCCTGGCGCCATTTGTTCCTTCATCTCCTTGAGTTGAAACACTACACTGCTCAAAACCCCTCCTAAAGCTAAGTCCGCTCCCTGAATCGCACTCACCTCCTTCCTTTTCTTCCTGTCCATTTTTACCTGATGGTGGAACACTTCATCCAAGTCTCCGGATGCTAAATTTCTTTTTATCATCTCCCATGACGTCTTTCTTCCTGGCGCGCCTCCTCGAGTCAGTACCATCGCCTCATACCCTAAGAACTTCCCCGAGAAAATGATACACTGCATTTCCTCAGAAAGTCTCGGGACTCTCTCCGCCATCTTTTCAAAGGCCGTTGCAAATGCTCTTATCGTAATAAAATCATTTCTATCCAAGTTATGGAGGTGGTCGACTGTTAGCAACCCATCTCCCAACTTGTACTTCCGCTGCATTCCCTTCTTGAATTCGGTCCAACTCCCTTAGGCATCTGTGACAATCTTTTCGACTTTCGAGCGGCACTCCCACCATACGTACTCAAATAGTTGAGCAAATTTCTCAGCTAACGTCAGCCGATTGAAGACTTGTTCCAGTAACTCTAACCAGTGGGACACCCGTTCTCCTTGGAGGGGAATATTTTTATCCATGGCAGTTGTGATCTTTTGATTGTTCTGCTTTCAAGTAGCCGTACGATTTTGACGGCTGTAATGGATCTCTGTCCTCCATTGGCGTCTCCCATCTTTCCACAGTCCTCAGTAAATCTGTCATACACATGCAGAGACGACGGTTTTTAGATCACATTTCAGTTTTTCTAACTTTCTTTTTAATTTTCTGTCTTGGGCGTTTTACCCATCCCAAGGCGCCATCTAAACCCCATCCAGCCCATGGTTCTAACTATCTTACATATTTCTCTTTCTACTCTCATCTCATCCTTCCCTTTGACATTACCTGGTATACACTAATTTTCTTAGTTTGCGTGCCCCAGTTATTACCCTTACCGTCTAAATGAGAGGGCCGATTATATGTAAAAAACGGGCTTGATTATATCCGTCTACTTCTAGTTCGTTTACCAACCTACCTCTTCAATCTCTTCTGCAGACATCCAGTCCCCCGTCCAGGAATCATACACCATATCGAACATTATAGGAATACCAAAAATGCAAGCCTCGGCCTTCATTTCGGCCTTAAGTTTTTTCCAATCGATCTGTCTTGGTTCTATACGGTGGACACGAACGTATGCGTCTACCGTGGACAGGACTTCCTCAAAATCTTTGTTAGCCAAATTCGGTCTCATTTCCAAATATAAACAATAAAGAACCTGGGGCGTAAAAAATGTGTACCCTCCCAGAGGTACGGCTATGGCAGTCAGGGCTGCTTGTTCTACATTAGCTTGGTCGTGAAAGACTTCATCAACGATAAAGTCCGGAAGGATAGCCTTCACGTAGTTGGTGGGATAAACAAAATATGATTCCCATCTTGCTTCTATCGTCTACATAATTGGCCGGAACTCCCCCCAACTTTCCTATCAAATTTTGTCCTCAAGGATCGCCTTTGTAGTCAAGATAAACCTGGACAGTGGTTGACTATGTCCTACCGCCAAATCCACGACGTGCATCCTCCATAAGCGTGATAAGAGGTACAAGGTCGCCCAAATTATTATACTTTCTTTGTCCGGGGTGTGCCCAACTTCTACCCATATGAACGTCTCCGGCCCAATCGAGGTTCCCGACTATGCGGTGACTTCTTCTTCCCTCATGCTTAGTCCTTGAGGCAATGACATCCTTAATCCCTGTCGGGTATGGATGGACAGCTCAACCCCAACTCCCTGAGTGGCTTATGACATCTTGAGTGATCTTTGGTGGCTTGAGTGGTGCAAAAAGGAAGAGACAAAAACACACAATACTTATGCGTAAGTCCTACTAGTGGCGTCATACTCCCCCTCATTATAGTTATCAATTCTCTATTTCCTTCAATTCTATTCGAGATATGACTGTTGCTCCCCATATCTACTTATCTTCCCCTTTCCTCTCTCAGGACATCCACTCATTGCTAGTTTCATCCCTTTAAACAAACAAATGTTCTTCTTCAGCTTCCTAACCTTCCCCTTTTTGCCTCTCATACACTCCTGTTGCCCTATTACTCTTAGAATACAAACCCCTTTTCTTCTTCTTCCATCTCACCTACCATCACCCAGTCCCCAGACCAGAAGTTACAGACCAACCCAAACATGGTGGGAATACCATCCACGCAAATCCCCGAGTGTACTTTCTCTTTTAACTTCTCCCAGTACCCAAATCTTTCTTCTATAAAATAAGTACAGACATACGTGTCTATGATGGACAAAACATTGCTAAAATCACTTTCGGCTAGCTCGGGGCCCTTTTCTATGTATAAACATTAGATCATATGAGGGGTGGAGAAGTCGTATCCTCTCTTAGGTACTCTCGGTGCGGCTTCAACGGCCAACTCCACTCTTGCTTGACCAAAAAACATCTCATTGATAATGAAATCAGGGAGCGTGGTTCTAATGTAACGGATTGGGAGAACAAAGTTTTTGGCCGGAAGCATTTTGATTTCCTTTATAACTCCTCTTATGTCTTACCATCCACCCTCTCGGCTCCAAACGTTCCGCGCCGCTTCTGCCATCTCTGTAAGTAGTAGTAGATATTCTTCCTCTCCTTGACCGAGACCTTATTTATGACCATGCCAGAGACGGGTAGACAGGTAGAGGATGACCCTCATACTACGTCATCCTTCCACCGTATCCCAACTCGTTTCTACCCACATAAATGCCTCATTTCCTAACGAGTTGCCCTACCATGTCTCGCTAAGTTCCGCTCTGCCCCTTCCTTTTGGCAACGTCATTTCTAGCCCATCATCGTTCCTAACGGGTGCTTCGACCCTGGAAACTTGCTCCGAGTAAGGTATCTTGATCGAATCCGGACAACCCCCCTTTAGTGACCTGTTTATACAAAAGGCAAGACAAGGACAACCCATTTAATATACCGACCTTGTTATTACAATTACTGACTTATGATATCTTTACTAAGCAGCATCTCAACTTACGTCGTTACCTATTAAGACCTTTATTTAAATTTTATTCCTGCATTTTCAAGTTTTACTCTTTTGACTTCTTTAGTTCCTTGCTGGGACTTGTTTCCACCTTCCCTTCTTGCTCCAATTGACTGAGTTGATCAAGGATTATGAAGATATGGGTCGGGTACTATTATGTCCACCCAGTTAATATACCTTTCACCAACTCTGACGGATTATCACACTCAACAAAAATTAGGAATGTTTTAGATTTTTTTTTTTTTTTTTTTTCATGACATACTTTCCCCTTGTCGAGGCACTCCTCAGATAACCCCCCTGTATAATAGGTATGAGATCAACCCGCATAACTCAACCTGGCATAGGAAGAATAATGCTAAGGTGATACATAGCCTATGGTTTGTTGGCTTGTCTTGAGATACTATGGGAGGATCATGCACATATGGAGTCAAAGGTGGAAGAGTCGTTCGAGGTGATTGAGGAACTACTGCCAGCTATTGAAGACGGGGTACCATGGAAGAGGATGGTGACGAATACGCCATTGGATAAGATGGAGAAGAAGGCGGTTTAAATCGCGGAGGTGGAGCACCATAATGTTGCTCGTATTTGTAAGAATAATATGTCATTTTTCCAGGGGACGGCGTGTGCTCTCGAGGAAGTCTTCCTGATATCATCGTAAACGCGGCCCTTCCCATTTTTCTTCCTCTTCCTCTTCTTCCTCTCACTCTTCTCTTTCCTTTGTCAAATCAATATGCCTACCCGTCACTTTCCCTTGCCGTCCTCCTCTTCCCCTCCCAGCTCCTGATCCGCGCGCCATGGTTGGAGGATGTCGCACCTTGATAAATTTCCCAAGCGCCTAACCAGTACTGCGTCAACAAGGCGATAAGTTTGATTGTGTAATATAGGTTACCCAAGGAACCTTTAATAAGGACTTCTGAAAATGAAAGTGTGTCAGATCGTCAAAAGGTGTTATTATCAGAAGGGAATACCGTAGCAGCAATCTCTCGGACAACCTTGACAAGACTTGTCAAATCCTATTACACCGATTAGTTTTTCCGTTATCAAATGCTACTACCTATCTAGGGAGTGATAAAAAAACAGACTAAGATTTGCAGGAATGATAGACAAGAGACTTTCAACTCATTCTAGCTCTACTCTCAGACCGATAATTACTTTCAGTAACTCTCTTACTTACTAGCGAAGGATATACAGTAGCCTATCTTATGTTTGTCGTTTTGCTAGGGCTTCAATTAGCCAGACTCATGTCCGTTCACATAGGACCCCGCCAGGCAACCGAAGGTCCCCGGCAACGGCGCCACCTGTCACGCGCAGCGGTCCCGCACCCCGCTGGGAGCGCTGAACCTCACGGTCGTGTCACGCATGACTTATTTCTTGAAGAACAGTATAGTCACCACTCCGACCGTGCACGCCAGCTATACCTCTCACGACACCCCACGACAGGTCGGGGACCCGCGAGGTACAACTTACCTCTACCTGAGGGGCTGTCACCAACCTAAGGTAGGCGTATCCCTGCTGAGCTACCGGCCCACGTGTGAAGGCTTTTCCATGCCTTTGTAGAAGTAGGTCGGTTGAGGGCGTTTGCTCGATCGCTGTAACATAAAATGGGGTACGCGTGGTAAAACGCCTAGAACTGACCCGTTAGATATTCAGGCCGAACTTTTAAAAGGCAGTCTATTTCCGCTACTGCGTAATGTATTATTCTCTTGACAAATATCAATCAAATCATCTTAAGTTAGTGTTAGACACCTCTGCTTGTCAAGACGACAGTCGATCCGACAGTAAAGCAACTCACACATGGGTACCTAATTTAGTTCATAAATTATCGTCAGATATCTCTGCCCGTCACGACGACATTCGATCCGACAGTGAAGTAACTCACACACGAGTACCTAATTTAGTTCATAAGTTATCGTCAGATATCTCTGCCCGTCACGACGACAGCCGATCCGGCAGATAGTAAGGTAGCTCACACATGAGTACCTAATTTAGTTCATAAGTTATTGTCAGATATCTCTGTCCGTCACGACGACAGTCGATCCGGCAGATAGTAAGGTAACTCACACATGAGTACCTAATTAAATTCATAAGTTAATGTCAAAACCTTCTTCCCGTCACGACGACAGTCGATACGGTAGAGAGTAAGGTAACTCGAACATGAGTACCTCATTGTCGATCCTTAGTCAAGTCAGAGCATACATAAGTAGCACGACAACTCTCACATGAGTCCTTATCGCATCACTTTGTCCTTCAAGTCCAGACAGTCTAGGTCCTTCTTGGTTAATTTAGGTTCCTTCCATTTCACCAGGCAGGATTCTTATTCCAATCATATTATTTTCCCTTTTGATTATCTTTATCCTGAAGAAAGCATAACCAGTATGCCATACAGACAGTCCAATAGAAAGGCGTAGCTTGTAAGGGTATACGGGAAAAGGGTTATGTGACGCCTACCT